TCCCTGCGCCGCAGCCTGGGAAGCCCCGGAGCCGCCCGAGGCGCGCACACGCGGTCTCCGGCGGGGCGGGGCTGTGTGCCCGGGATCCTGGGCTGGGGATTCCGTGGCCTCTGGTGGTGCCAGGGTGGCGGACGCTGCGACCGCCAGGACGCCGGGCAGCTGCCCCTGACGTTGCCCCAGCAGTCTGGGCCGGCCTGGGGGACCCACGCTTGGACTCCAAGTTCAGGTCCCTGGGGGCACAACCTGCCCTTCCCCTCTGCAGCCGCGGTCCCCGCGCACTTCACCAGCAGGGACCCAGCGCGCACGGCCTCTGCACCCCAGCATCCCGGCGGGGGACTCGTTTCCGTGCTCAGGATGGTCGCTGCTATTTTGTTTGTTTGTTTGTTTGTTTGTTTTTGGTTTTTTTTCCGGTACCGGGAATCGAGCTCACGACCTCGTGCTTGCCAGGCAGGCGCTGTGCCGCTGAGCTAAATCCCCAGCCCCGGTGGCTGCTGTGGAGTGGCCGTGTCGCTGTAAATCGCTCCCTGACTACAAGCGAACGAGCCTTCTTTCCATTCAGCTGTTGCCTGGAGTGGGCTCGACCTCGGCGCGATTCTGCAATTTCTCGTGGCCCTCGCACCGTTGTGCACATTAACACCGGGAAAGTGTCGGTTTTGAATGGCTTTCATGTCCCTTTGCTCTTCCTCCTGCAAAGTTGGCTCACTCTGAGCATTTTTTGCACATGTCAAAGCATAACGCCCTTTTTAGGGTTGAAGATGTTGAAGTCGCACCTAGGTATGGGGTGGAATTGGGCCCCGGTAGTTAAAAAGCTACTTTAAACCGAGACTATACATATTAGCGCATGCTAAATACGGGTTTGCTCAGTTCTCCGAAGTACATGAGTACCGCCTACGTAACTACCAACACCTAGACCCAAGGGGGGATGTGCGCTCCTTTCATTAGATGCCTGGGCGGCAGGCTTAATTCTCCTAGGAACCCGATTGAGAGACATAAAAGGAGGAAGAATTGAGGGGTGGGTTTTTCTGTTGTAGTGGTTTGCATGCTGTTAATTTATTTAAAAAATAACCGCTAGGCTGTAGATCAGAGCAGAAGATCTGAGCATATAAAAACCTAGAGATGGATTCTAATTCTCTCGGTTTACTTTTGAGCCACTCTTCCCCAGGCCTGGGTTGGGGCCACCTTCATCTTTCAGGGCCTCTGCCGGAATGTGCTGTGGTTGGAACCATTCAGCTCTGTTCTCACAGATTTCAAACCACAGTTCCTTATTTCTCATTTCTGACTTTGTTCTTGCTAGGGACCCGGACTGTTTAGCTTCTCAGCCTGACCGAAATGGTTGCTCAGTCTTTCTGTAAATAAAAGAAGGCTTAGTAGTTGTTTGATCTGTGCTCTGATATTCAGGGTCTACAAATGGAAAGCTTGGCAATTTGTGATGAGTTTCTGCAGTTTTAAGACTGGAAATATTGTTGGGCTGATGACTGGGCGCTGTGGATAACTTGTTGTTAGTCTTCCTAGGTTGAATAACTTTATAGGACTGAATTGCATGATCCGTGTGTTATCCGAATCAGACGCATACTGTACTGAATGTGTACATTATATAACTGAAGGCTCCACTGTAAGTTGATAAGTGTAACCAAAATAGTTGTTATAAACTGGAAATTTGAAGCATTTTGTCTGTTTAATGGACATTCTGTGTTTAAGTGGACAGTTTTTAAAAAGTACTTTATTGATATTGATGATTATATTCAACCATAGAGGACAGTTTTCTTCCTGCAGATTTTTTTGGAGACAGGGTCTCGCTATGAAGTTCAGGGTGGCCTTGAACTCACTATGTAGCCCAGGCTTGCCTCCCACTCGAAGCGATCCTCTTGCCTCAGCCTCCTGTGTGCTGGGATTACAGGTGTGCACCACCGTGCCTGGCTCCTCCCTCAGATTTTCACTTATTAATTATTTTAGCAGTTATTTATGAAGTATCAGTATGTGCCAGGCTAGTAGGCAAGGACATACTTGAAATGATAACAGTGGCCCTGACTCAAATACCCAAATGCATTTTTAAAAAATGGAGATAACCTCCCACCCCCTTAGATTTCAGCTTTTTCTGCCCTGGGTATTCTTCATTTTTGCTAAGCTAAAGCTTTTAAAAATCAAATTCCTGTCTTTTTAGAGAGACTTTAGGATTGTTGTTGGGTATATGCATGGGGGGTTGTCCTAGGACCTACCCCCTCCAGGTACTAAACTGCAGATCCTCAAGTCCCTTATATAAAAAGTGTGGTGTAGACCTACACACACGCTTTCTATACTTTCTAATTCATCTCTTTATTATGATACCTAAGACAGTGCAGATGCTGTGTAAATAGTTGTTGGAATACATTGTTTAGGGAATAACAAGAAGAAAAGAAAGTCTATACATGTCAGTGTGTCAGTACAGATGTGATTTGTTTTCCAAATACTTCTGTTTGAACCTATGGATGCGGAACCCATGGATGAGGACTGACATATCCGATCTGCTAACCCATACTGTCTCTAATCTGCTTTAAAAAAATACTAAACTAAAATCGCTTTTGACTGGCATTTATATTTCAGATGTGTTTGCTGACTGGTCTCCCTGCCTCTGATAAAGGCCCCTGCTGCAGCAGCTGTGGGGACTAAGGGACACCTTATGCCTCTGTGACCAGGTGTACGTTCCCAGGCCTCCATCCTTCACTGAATCCAAGAGTGATTTGCAAAGCACCTGCCTGCTAAGCTGGGAGGAGCAGTGGTTGGAATTAATTGCACAAAAATAATGTCTAGAGACATTAAAGCTGTCAGGAGACCTAGAGGGGCTTTGCAGCTGTCGAAGCTGTCAGAGCTGCACAGGTGGCTGCTTGCGGAAGAGCCTCAGATCGCTCCAGGTGGCCTGTACCTGGGTGGCAGGGGAGGGCGTCCGGCAGGCTGAGAGAGATGGCAGCTGTGGTTCGGTGTGACACTGACTCCTCGTTATGTTTCTCTCCCTCTGTCCAGTCCATTGACAACCTGAACAAATGGGTCCTGTTTCTGGTCTCTCCCTTTGTGCTTGAAGCAGAGCACATTGCATTTGTGACAGAAAGCATTTGGGTACAAGGTGACAGTTTACAGAGACCATCATCTACTGAAACGGTGAGTGCTGGGTGGTTTTTCTCGCGCACCATAAGGGAGGTATGTGTCCTAATCCAAGTTTGTCTTTCGTTTGTAATTTAAAATTGTAAATTAAGCAATCAGTTAGGTTAAATCATATAAAATTTGTGATATGTGACATTTTTTGACCTTTGGGCTTTTAAGTTGAGTTCACTGTTCTTATAAGCTTGGCAGAAATTTGCAGTCACTTTTAAAGGAACTTTTTGAATAATACTTATTCTGTTCACATACTGGAGTAAAGTATTCTATTTTTATGTTTATTTATTTATTTATTTATTTAGTCTGTTTTTGGTGACAGGGTCTCACTATGCAGTTCAGGCTGGCCTTGAGCTCACTTTGCAGCCCAGGCTGGTTTTGAACTTGCAGCAATCCTCTTGCCTCAGCCTCCGGAGTACTAGGATTACACGCATGCGCCACCACGCCTGGCTAAGTATTCTATTTTTGAACTCTTGTGCACAGATTTAGCTTAATCAGAATTCTGGGTAAAAATGCACATGGCTCCCATTCACTCATGAGTTGAGGTAACATGATAAATACCCACAATCCATCACTCAGGATAGAGACTGGGACCTGTGCCTGTGAGGGGCCCCAGGACCCCTCCCCTGGCCCCACCCGGCCCCAGTTTCCTTTTAGATGTATACACACACCGCCTTTCTGAACACTTACACGATCCTTGCATATTATTACATTTATAAATATGGTGAGCTAGAAGTTTTCTTATATATCCTAATATCATGTATAAATTTAGTCAAATTTCAATTTACAACCAAAGCCAGGATTTCCAAGATACTACAGTTGCATAAAATATCAAGGGTGCACAGATTGCCTCTTTTTTTGTTTGCTGTCTTTTTGAGACAGGGTCTCACTGTGCAGTTCAGACTGGTCTTGGTCTCACTTTGTAGCCCAGGCTGGCCTCAAGTGCTGGTGTTATAGGTGTGCACCACCACGCCCAGCCAGATTGCCTCTGAATACAAAAATATAACTGTTACTTTTTTTTTTTTTTTTGAGACAGCCCTTTGATTTGCAGCCATTCTTTTTTTTTTTTTATTTTAAAAATAAAAGGAGGAAAACATTAACAGACAGACAACATTTTACAAAATAGCAAAAGAACAGTACAGACAATACAGAGTTACAAAGTGGTAGGAAATTAACAATGCCTGTTGTATTACATATTGTTATCTTCAAAGTGGTTTCTCATGAAAACAGATAGAGACATGCAATATTCGTCAATCAAGGATTCATTAACAGTTTCTTTCAGCAAAGAAATAGGAGACAGTAGAACAACCATGTTAACTATCCTGTATATACATACATACAAAATTTCTCCTTCTTTCCCTTCTCTTTTCCTGCATCCCAGTTGCCCTTTACCCTTGAGTACTTTCCTGTCATTTCACAATGTCTATTATACCTCCTAGTTTAAATTAACTCCTTCAGGTTTTACACTAGTGAAAGAATGCGGTGCTTGCACATGCAGGTCTGATTTATTTCACTTATGAGTATGGTCTCTAGTTGTGACCATTTACCTATGATTTGCAGCCATTCTAAAGACCCCCAGTGACAAATAAATGACTCATAGGAATTTAGTTTTTTTTTAATTTTAATTTTTATTAGTACATGCTTGCAGTACGTAATGATTCCATTGATCATGGGGAAGGAATTCAGTTTTTAAAAAAGGTTGCATTCAGGTATTCATATTTTCACTTACTTGCTAATGGGTATTTGTCAAACATCTAGTTACTTTGCTAGTTGCAATAATAAATCCCAACAGATGATGGCAGGCTAGCGTGCTTACATGGGCTGTCCCGTTTAGCAAGAAAAAGCTGCAGGGAACGTCTACATTCTCTGCAGAGGAACAAATTCCCTTGTGCTCTGCACACTCCCGGCAGCCCCTCACTCCTGGAGGGTTGCGGGTGCCTGTGCGTGTTGGGACTGTCGCTAGGGCAGGAGGGAGGCTGCGTCGCCATGTGGAAGATGCAGTCAGAGCAGATGTCGCTGTGTGCTGAGTGCTGGGCAAGCGAGGCTGGGGTCTGGTGGAGGAGGTCAGGACTCTCGGGGCAAGTGCTGCCCGCACTTTAAGGGGAAGCAACAGGGTGAGGGCTTCCTTGGTGGAGCAGCATGTGGCAGGGGCACATGGCTCAGCAAGGTGGACTGGGGAGCGGTCCCTGTAGGACTCAGTGGTCTCTCGGTGGTCCCTGAGAGAAAACAGCGAGAGGATTTAGAAAATAAAGACAAGAGGTGATAGCTGGGGTCAGGTGGTCAGGTGGAGCGACGTGTTGATGGGCAAGAGGACTGAGTTTAACAGTAGGGGCGTTTATTTATACTCTTGCAAAGTTAGTAGGATGAGAGGCAATGCTGCCTAGCGACTAACGACTGTAATTGTCCAGGCAGGAGGCTTTTCTCAAGGCTGAAGTAGCTTGACAGCTTGAGGCACTCTGGCTCTGTCCTGCCCTCACACACATGACCAATTTCCGGCCCCAGCGGCTCCCAGCAGGCCCCAGAGGCGGCCACGGGGAAGGTGCACTGCTGCAGTGCAGTGTGGGGTGTTGTCCTGATGCCCTGCTGGTTTTCCAGGACGCAGCCAAGCGGGCTGTCCCATCAGTCACAGGACCCAGAAGCCTGCAGACCAAGCCAGGGCACCGGGTCCCAGAGTAGGGAATGAATTCGCAGCGCACAGCTGGAAGCAGGAGAGAGCTGGGATCTGTCAAAGGCTTGGGTCCCCTGCGTGGGATGGAAGTACCATGTGATGCTCATGTATCCTCCGTCCCTGCTCTGTGTCAGCTTTCCCACCAGCCGTGCTGTCGCAAGCACCGAGTCGTGGTGACAGAAGGGACTCGGCCGGTGGCAGGGGTCAGAGCCAGCACTCCCTCACTCTGTGGAGATCTGGGCTTCTGTGCTCATCAGTGATCTGTCTGTGTGTGACAGGGATATCGTGGGTTCCGCCTTAAGGGTGACACAGTTGCCAATCTGGAGGTGGCATTATCTGCGTCTTATTAATATTTAAAAGACTTAGTTGGTTCTTTCATGATTCTCTGCTGACAAGCGGTGCCCTCTTGCTCTGTCCTCTTTTATCTGTGCTCACGTCACGTTTGTTCCATTGATGTTGTTCATCTTCAGCATTTTGTACAAGTCTCTGACTCGTTATAGCACCATAAGATAAGGTACAGTATGGCTTTCACTCTTGATGTCCTTTAACATGTTCCTGTATGTGCAGACTTTAATATTCTCAGATAGTATGGCAAATACACTTAATGCACAAATTAAAAAGGGCATTTATGCATTAATTAGGAACTTGGAGTCCATCCTATGTTTAGTAGGCTAAAAAGCCGTATTTATTTATTTATTTATGTCTTTTTGAGACATAAATAAACTTGCTATGCAGTTCAGGCTGGTCTTGAGCTTACTTTGTAGCCCAGGCTGGTCTCAAACTCGCAAGGATCCTCCTGCTTCAGCCTCCTGAGTGCTGGGATTACAGGCATGCATCACCACACCTGGTTTAAAAAGCCTTTTTTAAAAAGCATAACAAAGTCGAGCCTGGTGCCACAGTTGTGTAATCTCAGCACTGAGGTGGCTAAGGCAGGAGGATCGCCCTGACTTCTAGGCCAGCCTGATTTACACAATGAGATCCTGTCTCAAAAAAAAAAAAAAAAGAGTAAAAGCTCATATTTGTGCTTTAGAAACATCACAATCCAGGCAGATTAGTGAGTGGAGCAAACCCGGAGCTCCTGAAGTTTGTGTGAGAAGAGGGCTGGCCTTGAAGTGCTGGGGCGGTTCCGGAGACAGGGGCTGGCGGTGGAATGGGCGGTGGCCAGTGGCCCCTGCCGCAGGCTGAGGACACCGAGGGAAGGACACTAAGCGGGGCTGGAAGGAAGGCGGCTTCGCTCCTTGTAGTGCTCACCCTTGCTGGAGTAACACAGCCTGGGAGTCCTGGTGGCTTCTGTCAACAAGCCTGGCTCCTCGGCCATGCCGTATGCAGGCTCTGCAGGTTGGTGCTGTTTCTGGGTTCGCCCTGCTGTGGGCTCTGCTCCCTGTGTGTCGCTCATGCAGGAACTTGGGGGGTGCACCCAGTGAGGGACACACTGTCCTCGCAGAGCTGGTGACACCAGTGCATGGGGACTCTTGCTTCATCCCCTGAGTCTGGGCAAGTGACCTCAGTGATTCCTTGTGCAGTGGGATGTGGTGGAACCCCATGCTGGACTTCCCAGGCCTGGTCACTGGGAGCCTCATTGCTCGAGCACAGCTCCCCTGTGGCTGGATCCGTATCCTGGAGGACCAGGCCCTCAGGACAGCGCTGGCTGAGTCCCTGAGTGGAGCCCCAACTCGCCAGCCCTAGGAGGGACTGTCTTAGCAGTGGACCATCAGCCCCTGTTACGGAGACAACATCCCACACCACCTCCTGCCGTGTGGAGCCAAACTCAGCTGTCCTGCTAAGCTGAGATTTGCAAGCAAAATAAGTGCTGAGTTTTTAGCCACTGCACTTGGGCTCATTTGTTACACAGCAGTGGGTTACTAGACTGCCAGGACTCCTCTGATGCCCTCCCTAGTGGTGCACCTTGGGTGACAGGTCTGTAGAGCCTGGGGACATCTAAAGAACACACAGGTTGTGACAGCATCGGTGTCACACCTGTACACAGGTGTAGTCCTGACTAGCCCTTTCTTTGAGTCCTTGGCTTTGCTGTTATTGAATATTACCCAGGTGGGTTTATCAGTCCAGCCCTTGCTTGCTATGGAGCTGTGACGCCCTTACACTGTGACTTGCTTTTGCAATACCCTTCTTATAAAACTGCATAGAGCATATTGTCTTTTTCACTGAGAGACTGAAAATGAATTTTTTGGCATCCTTTTATCCTGTTTCCAAATCTGAAAGGCAGCTAGGGCATTAGAAATTAATCGCTCTCAGTATCATTGTTTCAAATTCTTTATATCTCTGTACCCATCTCTTCTCTGTTCATTTTGTTGCTAGAACTGTTTTAGCAACCTATCATGCATTTAAAATGATTTGGAGTGGACGTGGTGACTCACATCTGTCATCTCAGCCCTTGGGAGGCTGAGACGGAAGGATCACCGTGAGTTCAAGGCCAGCCTGGGCTAAATAGGCAGACCCTGTCTCAAAAAAAAGGAAAAGAATAGAAAAGAAACAGAAACAAGGCCTGGGGTTCAATCTCTACCACTGGAAAAAAAAACAAACAAAAAAAGACTTGGAAGAGGAGAAGCAGCAGTCAGAAATTAGCAACATCGGTTGTCTGACTCTGGGCAGCTGAATGGTTGTTGAGATTTCTGATCTCCCGGCTGCTACAGAGCTTCCGCTCGTCACCTGCTGCTTGCAGAGGCCACTCGAGCTGGCTAAAGCTGGTGTCACACTCGCGGACTTCCTGGACAGAAGTTCTCAGCCAAGTGGTGCATGTCCTCCTGTGTGCTTGCCCTGAGTTGACACATCGAGTCCAGGGCTTCAGTTATTGAACAGATTTCTGGCTGCTTAAGGGGAAGCCCCTTTGTGTAGGGCCAAGCAGGGCTCCCTCAGCTTTGATCTTGGGGGCAAGCCTTTTGCTTGACTTCCCCTTTCTTCCCCCACCCCTTTGTCTTCACTGGTAGTGCGGATTTCAGTGTCCGGTTTGCTTTTGTCCTGTGCAGGGCCGTGCCCCCGGATGAAGTATCAGTGTGGCGGTGCTGGCTTTGCTTTGATCGGGGTGCCCGGTGCTGCTTGAAAGGGTTTGCATGGTCTGTGGCTCCTGGGCCTCATTGCTAGAGAACGGAAGTGCACTTGGGTGAGGAGATGGTTGCCGGGCCACGAAACATGATCAGGGATGTGTATGCGGATCTCCTTTGCCTCTTCCTGTCCTTCCTCTCCTTTGTCTCCTGTATCTCTCACCGCAGAGGAGTGTGAGAATCGAATGGGAGGGCCCCTTTGCAGTGCAGTTGGGGGCTGCCACAGCGGGGCGCTCACTCCGTGTTTGCATAACTGACTTCTGGCTTCCCCGGCACTGTGGGCTGGAGGTGGCTGGGAGCTGGGGAGGGTGCAGGCTTGTGCAGGAGCCTGTCTGCAGAGCCTGCCCTGGTCACTAGTTAGCGCGTCTTCTCACCCTGCTCCTCCTCTGCTGTCCTTGCTCTGCACTCCCAGAGCTGGGTCTCCACAGTATTGGTTGAGGCTGTGAGCTTCAGCTTGCCCTGCACCGGCCGAGAGCTTTGAGACGGAGACTTCCCGGGATGCCAGGCACATGGTGCCTACACGGGGCTCCACGTCCCAGCTGGGGGACAAGTAGGTGACGAGCAGAGGGAGGACAGTTCTGAGGTTTGTCTTTCTCCATATTCTCTAGGCCAGTTAGTGCATTTATTATTATTATATTTTTTACTTTAGGATGGGGTCTCACTAAGTTGCCGGGACTGGGTTTGAACTCCTGATTCTTCTGCCTCAGCCTCCCAGAGTGCTGAGATTACAGGTGTGTGCCACCGCCACTGGTTTATTTATTTTATCCAGCGTTTAAAAAAATGTTTTTCAGCAGTGCTAGGCGTGGTGGTGCACGCCTGTAATCCCAGCACTCGGGAGGCTGAGGCAGGAGGATCGTTGTGAGTTTGAGACGAGCCTGGGCTACAAAGTGAGCTCAAGGCCAGCCTGAACTGCGTAGTGAAACCCTGTCTCAACAAAGCAAAAGGTAGAGTACATCAGGTTGAGTCATGCAGCAACTATGACATTTTGCTATGACCAAACACAAAGCATTGGGCAATGGCTATGTTTTACTCAATCCTAAACATGAGAGACATAAATAGTTTTATAGTTGACAAAGAAAATAACAAGCATGGAATACCACCAGAGAGCTGAACGAATGAATTCTCTCTCTGCCCAGCTGCTCATCCTCTGGCTGTAGCCATTGTCTCTGGGGGAAGCTTTCTTTCTTTATTTCTTTCTTTCTTTTGTAATTTAAATCTGGATTTATGTTTGGAAATACAGATGCAAATTAAAAAACTTAAAAACAAAACAAAACCCTGTCTCAAAAAGACCAAAAAAAAAAGAAAAAAAAGAAAAAACATTTTTCAATTTATGATGAATGTTATTATGTATGTCTAAAATGTAGCAGTAAAATAAAAATGCAAAAAAAATTTTTCAGCAGGAGTTAGCTCTAGAACAGTCCACCAGCTATGGAAAAATCGGATTCAAAGTTGTGTGTTTCTGATTATGAAAGTTGAGGGTGCCGGGTGTGGTGGTACACGCCTGTATTCTCAGCACTCGGGAGGCTGAGGCAGGAGGATTGCCATGGGTTCAGGGCCAGCCTGGGCTTCGTAGTGAGACCCAGTTTCAAAAAAAAGGAAAGAAGGAAAGTTGAGGGAGTATGAAGACAGTTTTGGAGAGTCAAGGGAATCATTCATGGCACCTTAGAGACTATAATGCTCATGGTTGCTTTTCTTTTTTATTTATTATTATTACAGTCTTTAAAAAATTAATTTTGTTGGTACACTTTTTATTTTATTTATTTATTTATTTATTTATTTATTTTTCTGGTACCAGGAATCAAACTCATGACCTCCCGCTTGCCAGGCAGGAGCTGTGCCGCTGAGCTAAATCCCCAGCCCCTTGGTACACTTTTGACATACATAATGATCACATTTGTCATAGGGAATTTGTACCTGTACATGATGTGTCTTGATTCTTTTTTCCCATTCCCCTCCCCTCCCTTCATCCCTTCTTCCCCTCTTGTTTCTATTGTTTTCCTTTTATTATTTTTCTTCCTAGTCCTTCCCTTTCTTTTCCCCTTCTTTTCCCCACTCCTTTGTTCCCCTTCCCATTTGAACATTTTCTTCCTACTTCCCAATATCTATCCTCCATTTTGGTCCTTATTTACCTTATTTTGGTTTTTCACAGCAGAGAAACAATGCAGTATTTACACGCGTGTGTCCAGTTTATTTCACTTATGAGTATGGTTTCAAGGTGCATCCATTTACCTAGAAATATCTCAAGCTCATCTTTCTGTATGGCAGAGTAGTACTCTATTGCATATAGAAATAACATTTTCTTTCTTTTTTTTTTTTGTCTTTTTGAGACAGATTCTTGCTATGCAGTTCAAGCTGGCCTTGAGCTCACTTTGTAGCCCAGGCTGGCCTCGAACTCTCAATGATGCTCCTGCCTCAGCCTCCCAAGTGCTCGGATTACAGGTGTGCGCCACCAAGCTGACCTTTTTTTTTTTTGTCTAAATGCCAGTTTTTTTTTTTTTTTTTCCAGTACTGGGAATCGAACTCACAACTTTGCACTTGCCAGGCAGGTGCTGTGCCGCTGAGCTAAATCCCCAGCCCCCCATTTTCTTTATTATTCATCTGTTGATGAGTATCTGGGCTGTTTCTAAGATTTAGCTATTACAAGTTGTGCTGCTATAAAAGTGGGTGTGTGTATATCACTGTGGTATGATGCTTTTAACTCTTTTGGGAAGATACCTAGAAGGGGAGCAACTGGGTCAGATGAAACCTCTAGTATTAGTTTTCTGAGGAACCCTCACAGTGATTTCCATATTGATTATACCAATTTATACTTCTACCAACAGTGGAGAAATTACTAGGTTTTTGACACAGAGTCTCACTGTGTAGCCCAGGTCAGCCTGAACTCTTGGCAGTCTTCCTGCCTGAACTTCCTGAGTGCTGGGATTACAGGTGTGTGGCACCGCACATGGCTTCACTGTTGTTTATAAAGGCAGGTGTAGGATAGGTAATAGTTTTCACTCATGGAGCCCTTTATTCTGCCGCAGCTTTCCACAGGGCCTCACACACACTTTCTGTAGTGGGCTTTTCCGCCTATAACCCTGCACTGCGATGGGCATTAACAGTGTTGTGGTTTGCGGGTTCCCAGTGAGCGAGCTGAGAGTACAGAGACTTCTCCAGAAACAGGCCTCTGTGATTTTGGAGTTTGAGGCAGGTCCTTCTACCCCCTGGCTCCTTTTTCTGTTGGGTACCCTATGATAGATCACAGGGTCCCATCTCCCAGTAGGAAGTTTTGCAGAACCCCGAAGGCTGGAAAGCCGGTGTTTGGTCCGCACTCTCTCTGTCCCCCTTGTGGCGGCAGTGTGAACTGTCTGCACTGTTGACAGCCACCCTGGCGTTTCTGCGTGGTGGGATCCCTGGGGCTGCAGGCTGGCTGCTGGGCCCTCCTGATTGCAGGGTCAGAGCTGTGGCAGGAATTTCTGAGTCTGAGGTGCCTCCAGGAGTTCTGCTTTGGTTCTGCTTGGCTTGTACTTTGCAAGCCACCTGTGATTTCATGCAGCCTGTTGAGGACCAAATGGAGGGCCTCCCATAGGCTAAGCAAGCTCTCTACCTAGAGCTGCACCCCCAGCCCCAGTAGGTTACATGTGAGGTTGTCTTAGTCACTTTCTCGTCGTGGAGGCCCAATATCTGACTTCCACAGCTTAGAGGAGAGGTTTGTTTGGGCTCACATTTGTGGAAGGTTCAGTGCATGGTCGGCAGGGTGACATGCTGGAAGGACCTGGGTAGAGGAGAGCAGGAAGCAGAGAGTGGGAGGAGCTGGAGAAGCAGATGACGCTCCCAGGCCACAGCCCTGTGACCAGCCCCCAGCTAACCGGAAATCAGCTCTGATCCCTGTCACGCAGGCACCTTCCCGAAGCCTCGCCTGCTAGTGCAACAGGGCTCTGCCAAGATGTGCAGATGTAAAGCCATGGCTTTGTCCTCCCCTCCTGGTCTCCGTCACTGAAGGCCCGGAGGAGCAGCCTTCTCCCCAGGTGGTTCCTTCTAGCAGCTGACACTGCAGTTACTGTTAACTGAGAGAGTCGCATTGAGTGTCTCAGAAGCACTGCTGTCACCTGCAAATAAGCACGTTGGGGCTAGAACAACAGATATTAGTAAAACGCAGTATCTAGTAATTTGTGGAGCCTGACTGTTTACATTATTATTGGTGAGGAGCCTGAGAGGGAAAATAAGGTGGTCACTTGAAAACTGTCAGCTTCTCTCTTCTGCCTCCTTTTTCTCAGCTCGTCAAGTGGTCGGACTGCTGTCTGCCACTGGCTTGCCGGCCAGGGGATCCCTACCAGTTAATTGCGGAGGCGAGTGTGGACGACTTCAGCAGGCTGGGGGCGGCGTTCATGGAGGACAGGCTCCAGATGGAGAACGGGCTGGTGCCGCAGAAGATCGTTTGTGAGTAGCTTCCGAAAGTGCTCCCCTCCTAGCAGCCCTGCAGGTCACTCGTGGAAGGGCTGCCCTGGTCTGCCAGCACTCCTTTTTGTATGACTGAAGGGCCAGGCGTAGTTTCAGTTTAATTCAGCCAGCAGGTTTGACTTAACCCTAAAAGTATAAAATTCATATACGCGTCAAGAGTTTTGAGGGGCAAGGGATGATATATCATTAGTGTTTATAGGATTTGTTAGAATTCTTTTTTTTTTTTTTTTTTTATTTTTTTTTTTTTTTTTTTTATGGTACTGGGGATTGAACCTAGGGTCTTTGCACTGAACTACATGTCCTATATTTAATTTTTTTTTTTTTTTAAATTTTGAGACAGGGTATTGCTAAGTGGTACAGGCTAGGTTCAATCTTGTGATCCTCCTGCCTCAGCCTCCCTGAGTGTTGGCATCGCAGGCGTGTACTGCAATGGCCAGCTTACATTAGGATTTTTCATAATTGCATTGTCTGTGAGCTTGCATTCAAATTCAAAACATTTATTTCACACAATATAAATAGTTTCTAGACTGTGATTTTGCTGAGTGGGAAGCATAGTGTTACTATGAAGTTCTAAATCTGACAGCTTTTACAAATGTTTTCTTTTAGGAAACACACAAACCATTCCTCTTCAGGCTTACGTGCAGGCTTTCTGTGTCTGTTAAAGTTTCCATTTATATCATAGGCAAGTAAAAGTGTCACTTACCAGCTTTAGAAATTTATGTAAATTGCTCAGTTTGCTCATTTGCCGTATGCATACGCCCAGTACTGTGTTAGGCATGCAGCAGGTGCTCAATCTTTTATTTTTTTTCCTGAGACAGGGTCTTGCAGGTTTGCCTTGAACTCTTGTGTGGCCCAGGTTGGCCTTGAGCTCCATGTTCTCAAGATCCTCCTGCTCAAGCCCCTTGAGGGCTGGAATCACGGGCTGTACCAAGACACCTGGCTCAGTATATGTTTCCTTAATTAGTGATCATGAGTTTATGCTCCAGTCAGAGAGCAGATACTGTAGAACCTTTCTGCCGACTAGATCTTAGGAAGTATCCTGAGTATGACTTCCCTGGGCTGTGCTTGGATCGACTCTACCTGTATGATCTCTTTATTTCAGTTTCATTGTCATGTAGAAGAATAACGTCCAAGAAATCGAATTTTTAACTAAGTAGGCAAAATCGTCTGTCTTTATCTCCCTTTATTTACCAGTCACTAAGAGAATTCTAGCTTGGTGTGGTGGTGCACCCCCATAATCCCTGCACTCTGGGAGGCTGAGGCAGGAGGATCACAGGCTCGAGCCCAGCCTGGGCAAGTTCTCAGTGAGACCCTATCTCAAAATTTTAAAAAAGGAGGGGTCTGGGGATGTAGCTCAGGGCAAAGGTCCAGGGTTCAATCCCCTGTACTCAAAAGATGAGATCCAAGGCTGTCTGGTTTGTGCAGGAGAGATGTGGGAAGTGGAGTTTCCTGTGGCCCGGGGGCCCCAGGCTGGAGGCGAGGTGTGTGGGAGCAGGTGGTGGGGGTGTGGGGTGCCGGGTGCAGGGTGAGCTGACGCGGCTCTCCCTGCTGTTGCCCTAGCGGTGCACTTGCAGGCCTCCGCTCTGCAGGAGCTCGCAGACCCGACCTCCAGCGGCCGAGCCCCAGCCCTGCCGCCCATCACTGAGCCCGCCCCAGAGATGGAGCCTGCACAGAACGGCAAAGGTGGCTTGGAGGCCTCGGGGGACGGCTCCCCCAAGCTGAGCAGTGAGCCCGCCGGCGACAGCGATCCTGCTGGGGACAGCGATCCTGCTGGGGACAGCGAGCCTGCTGGGGACAGCAAGCCCGCCGGCGACAGTGAGCCCGCCGGGGACAGCGAGCCCCACGGCCCCGCCGAGCACAGACACCTGCACCTGTCCAGCTGCCATGAGTGTTTGGAGCTGGAGAGCAGCACCATCGAGTCGGTGAAGTTTGCGTCTGCCGAGGACATCCCTGAGCTCCCCTACGATGCCAGCGGCGGTCCGCAGGGCACCTCCGATGGTCTGGGCCCCGGAAGGGAAGGCAGGAGAGGCAACGCCATGGGGAAGGCTCCTAACATCCTCCTCTACGTGGGCTCGGGCTCCCGGGATGCCCCCAACCGGCTGCAGCAGGTCCGGGCCCTCCTGGCCGACTGCGTGGACACCGACAGCTACATCCTGTACCCACTGCCGGAGGACAGCGCTCGCAGGGACCCATGGCCAGACCACTGCCTGCTGTTGGTCATTGCCGCCAGGGAGCCCATCCCTGAGGACGTGCACCGGAAGTTCACCGCCTACCTCGCCCAGGGCGGGAAGGTGCTGAGCCTGTCGTCCAGCTTCCTGCTCGGGGGCATGCGGGTGACCAGCAAGGCTGCGCTGCAGGGCACCGTGCAGAGCCTGGTGTTCTCCAAGGCTGGCCGGGGCGACGTGAGGCTCAGCGTGCTGAGCAGTGGCTGTGTCTACGAAGAGGGCCCCGGGGAGCCGCTCGGCCCTGGCAGGCTGCAGGGCCACCTGGAGAACGAGGACAAGGACAGGGTGATCGTGCAAGTGCCTTTCGGGGCCCGTGGAGGGGAAGCCGTTCTCTGCCAGGTACGGAAGGGGCTTCCCCGGGCTCCCGGCCTCTGGCGGGGGGCGGGGCTTGGGCTCCTGAAGCCTGCCCAGTGAAGGCCTTCAGATGGGATCGGGCGCATTCAGGGTGGTATGGCCGTAGACAGTGAAGGCCTCCAGAGCTTAGCCAGGGGCTGCCTGGCGGGCTGGGAGCTCTAAACCTGATGGTGAGTTTAGCGCATCTCCTAGGCTGGGAGGACGAGGTGGGGCAGGGCTGGGCTGCTGCAGTTACTTAGCCTAGGACTAGTCAGAAAATTCTTGCTTTGGTCTTTACTGGTAATAGTCTTTCTAAAGTATGTCAGTCTACTTTCTTGCTGTTCATATCAAGCCATTATTTAACATAGGAAATCGAAAGATTTAGGGTAGTCCTTCTAAACAGCACCAAACATGATAAACATTGCCGTTGACTGTAGAGGTAGTTAGTGTTAAAGCCATCCTTGAGAGCTGGGTGTGGTGGTGCAGGCCCGTAATCCCAGCACCCGAGAGCCTGAGGCAGGAGGGTCGTGGTGAGTTTCAGGCCAAGGCCAGCCTAAGGTACACAGTGAGACCTTGTTTGAAAAAAACAAAAAAACTAAACTAAAAATAACAGTAACAATAATAACAAAACCATCCTGAAGTCCTCAATTTCTTTATGATTTATTTAGCACTCTTAAAGTCTTAAGTGCCTGTAATCCCAGTACCTAGGAGGCTGAAGCAGGAGGATCTCAAATTTGAAGCCAGCCTTTTTTACATAGCAAAACCCTATTTCCAAAATCGAAAACCATAATAAAATAAAAAAAATCTTAACTGCTGAGAAAAGCTCCAAATAAGAGAATGTTGAAGTGACTCAGAAGAGACAGCGCATTTATACCGAGGTAGGAGAAAATAGAACGGGGTGAAGGGAGGAGCCGACTTGCTCCACGTATAAGGACGCCCTTCGGTTCTGCTGCTTCTCTCCCCATTAACTTTTCACGTGAGGAAGTAGTCACAGCTTCTCTCACAGCTCTTGTCATCTCTGAAAGCCTAGGACGAGAGTTTCTGTTAGAGATGGTGACCGAGGTTCCTGTGTAATGAGCCGCCAGAGATGGGGGTGTTCTGCCCGAGACTGGCGGAGATGGACGCCCTGGGTCTCGTTTTGCCCTGGGGTCTTTTTATCTTCTTAGGGAATGGCTTATTTCCCGTTTCGTCTCAGTCCCTGTGCGTCTCTCCAGCCCTACTCGGGCAGAGACGGCTTGGTGTTGGGCAGCCTGGGCCTGAGGCAGCCGTGCGGGCTTCTGCAGGGCTGCAGACCTCTCGAGCTGGTGCGGGGAGGCCTCGCCCCCCAGTCCTCTCATGGCAGGTGCGATCCCCGTAGCAAGCGCGCGTTCCCCGAGAAGCTGCCTAACCTGACTTCCTAGAGCCTCACTTTGGTTTTGAAGGGCGAGTTTGGCACTCCGTACACTGACTTGGACTAGAACATGGGTTCGGCACCGTTGGGATCCAGCTCTCGGGGTTGCACAGCGAATCTGTGGCTGCGCTGTTTAAACCGCCACTGCTGCTGCAATAACATCCAACCCTGCAGTGCATTGCCCAGGAAAAGGCAGCGCAGCTCAGCTTCACCAATCAGATCCAGGATGAGGGAGGCATGTGGATTTTAGATGCCTTCCAGGCTCCTGCGTGAAGGGGAACAGTCTCTCCCCAGGCCTGCATCTCAGTGATACCGCCTGAGAGCATCCAGTAAACACAGTTACAGGCTGGTTAGCGCCCCCTTCCTCTGCGCATTCCCACCCCTCGTCTTACGGTAAATCTAGTGATGGGACCCAGTCAGGGCGGCGAAGCACTGTATGCGCAGGACCAGCTGCAGAACGGGCGAGGTGTCCTGGTCGGGCGAGCTGCCTGGCGATGAGAAGAAGGGACCCAGAAGTGTCCCTGTGCTGCTGTGCTGGTCAGGTGTGCAGGGGACACTTGCCTTGGATTTGGGCTGGTTCTTGGTTATTGTGGACCAGGAGATTGGGCTGGAGTTGTCCAGAGAAAGCGCCGGCATGGATGTGAGGTGCTGCTTGTGTGCACCCTTGGCTCACGGCAGGAGTGGGGCGTCTCAGCCTGGCCGGGACACATTCTTTGCCCTCTGGGGATTCACTAGCACTCCTGGTCTCTACCCAGTCTGCTCCAGTCCTTCTGTCCTGAGCTGGAGATGCTTTACGTTGAGAAGCCATGTTTTCAGAAGGAGCCGGGTTATGGAGATGGGCTGTCACCATGGTAATGGCAGTGCCAGCAGAGGACCGAGACTGCCTGATACCGTAAGGACCGGAGTGCTTCCCTGCGCAGGCCCCGCCTGCTGTTCTGTCCCTGCTGCCGTGAAGACCAAGTCGTGGCAGCCACTCTTCTCGCTGCCCTTGGAGAAGCACCAAAATCTTTCTTTATTTTTATTTTTAGTTGTGTTGGGCATTTAACCCAGAGCCTGGCATATGCTAGGTATGTGCTCTACCACTGAGTTCTACCCCAGTCTAGCACCTAAATCTATCTTTCTTTCTTTTTCTTTTTTCTTTCTCTTCCTCCCTTCCTCCCTTCCTCCCTTCCTTCCTTCCTTTCTTCCCTTCCTCCCTTCCTCCCTTCCTCCCTTCCTCCCTTCACATAGTCTTGCTATGTAGTGCAGGCTGGCTTTGAACTCTCTGTATAGCCCGGACTGGCCTTGAACTGCAGCAATCCTCCTGCCTCGGCCTCCCAAGTGCTAGGATGACAGGCGTGTACCACCACCCAGCGATATTTCATTTTAACTGGACCGCAGAGCCTGGACTAAACCCAGGGAGCCCCAACCCTGGGGACTCGGTCAGGCGAGGGAAGGTGGTAGGGAAGGACTCCCTGGGTGCGCAGGAAGCCGTTCCTGTGAACTCCTGCGAGTGAGCCTGCTTCCTCTTTCCCACGTCCATGGGTGAGTCCCTGGCCTCACATCCACTGCGTTTCAAGTGTTTCAGCCCAGGACCAGTGGCCCGACTTGCCCAAGGTCACCGGCTGCTGGGTGACAGGTGACATCCAGAGTTCGTCCCACCTTCTCCTTTTGAATACTTTCTTTTTATTGCTTGTCATTGCTTTACAGATGCTCAGGTTCAGAGTTAATGTTCTGTTGCTAAGGAGAACAATTCATTGTCAAGTTCTCAGAAAACTTGGGAATGAAACTTCACCCCGCCCCCTGCCTTTTTTGAGACAGGGTCTCGCAGTGTCATCCAGGCTGGTTTTGAACTATGTAGCCCAGGTTGACCTCACATTTGTGGTGACCCTCCTGCCTCAGCCTCCTGAGTGCTGGGAGCACCAGGCCTGGCTGATTAAACTGTTTCTCCTAGTGCCTGTAAGGGCCCCCGATTCACCTTGCATTTGTATCTTTTTCTCCAGGCGCACTTAGAACTACCTCCCAGTTCCTCTGTAGTACAAACCCAAGAAGAATTTAACTTGCTCAAGTCAAGCAACATGAGTCGGCATGAAGTCCTTAAGGAGATCTTGGCCACTCTGGGCCTAAGCTGCGGTGCCCGACAAGCTCCTGCCTTAACACCTCTGCACTTGCTGATGGCTGCCAAGGTGAGTCTGGGCTCCGCAGGGAGGGCGCACCTCCTCAGGACCTGTTCCGTAACTGTCCGGTTTCAGCAGACAGGACCTTTGTTTACTTGTTGATTTTGAGACAGGGTCTTGCTATGTAGTCCAGGCTGGTCCTCAACTCACTGTATAGCTCAGGCTGGCCTCAAACTTGCATGGATTCTTCTGCCTCAGCCTCCCAAGTGCTGGAATTACAGGCGTGTGCTACCACGCCCAGCTTCACTTTTGATTTCTATTTTGACCTGGGGTTTAGAACTTGTCTTGATGTACGAGTGTCTTTAGCATTTTTTAGAGTTTGCATGCAATGGGGGAGGATGGGTCCTGAGTCTGGCAGGTGTTGGATGTGCAGGTTATGGCCCTTTTCAGGGAAGAAGGTCGCAGTTGTGTAGCGGTCCCTCCACGTCTGTGAGCTCTGCCACCAGATTGCAGAGGCGTTTGACAAAAGACTGCATCTGTTCTAAACGTGTGCAGGCTCTGTATTTGAGCCCAGGGCTCGCACATGCTAGGCCAGTGCTGTGGCATGGACTTACTTCCCCAGCCCTTTGTTTTTTATTTGGAGATGGGTCTTTCTAGTTTGACCAGGCTGGGCTTGCACTGGTCATTCTCCTGCCTCAGCCTCCTGAGTAGGTGGGATTATAGGCGCATGCCACTGTGTGTGGCCAGACCTGTTTCTTGTTGTTATTACCAAGACAGTGCAGTGCAACAAAAGCTCTTTCTGTAGTGTTTCTGCCGTACTTGGTGTTCCGAGTCCTCTGAGATGGGTTAGGGAGGCCACGTGTAGGTTACCTGCAAGTGCTGTGCCATTTTCCATGAGCAGTTTGAGGCTCTGTGGTTTTGGTGTCCAGAGGAAGGGAGGGCTGGGACTGACCCGCTGTGGGGACCTCGGGCTGGGACTGGCGCGTAGTGGGGACCTCGGGCTGATGGGAAACCACAGTCAGTTGTTTTGATCTGGGCTTTGCTCAGCAGTCTTTAGGGGAGGGACTCGCTTTTTTCAGTTGTGCTCACGTCTGCCACCTTGTGGCCAGCGCCCTCAGGATTTCAGTGGCTGTCGCCGCCTCTGGAGTGCCTGGGTCCTCGGGCCTGCATCTGCCTGCCCCACCTGTGATTGATGCCTGGTTTTGGGCAGGTGCCAGGTCCCTCAGGTGTGGGTTCTTGCTAATCCCCTCACCCTGACACGCTGTCAGTTTCTTAGTCGTTGTGACAAATCGTTCTGCCTCTTTGCTGTCTCCCTGTAACAGGCAGACTTGTGAGCAGAGTGGTACAGCCCGGTAGTCTCAGCAAATTCTCAGTCGTCCGGGGGCCCTGCACACCCATAGCCCTGCTTTTCCTGGCGGAGAACGGCACACCCTTCCCCCTAGCTCTCCAGGGAGGAGGCCTTGTCTTTCAGGTTCTGCGCGCTCGTGGGTGAGCTCAGTTTCCAGAGGGGAACAGAGTGTGGCGCTGCCTCGGTACCGTGCCATTACCTGGTACCGAAAGAGATGTACGAGGCGCCTTACAGGATTACTTGAGGACTAGATGAAATAATATATGTGAAAGCTCTATTAATTGTATTATTTAAATGGTAATGTTGTTATTCTTTTTTGAGACAGGGTCTTGATGTGTAATTCAGGCTGGCCTTGAACTCACAGTGATACTCCTGCCTCAGCCTTCTAGGTTCTGGGATTACAAGTGTGCCTCATCATGCCCAGCAATAATGTTGTTATTTTTATTATTCTTAGGTTGTTGGGAGTTGAGTGAGTTAAAAATATAAAATGTTCCTAACAGTTGTCTAGTACCTAGTCAAAAAGACTAAAGCTAATGTTTCCATTTTTAAAATGAATAACACAGTAATGGGTAGTTTTTACATTTAGAAACCTCTTTTTAACATCTTATTATAATTATTAATGTATTGTTCAAATTAAGAAAGATTCTTGTATTTCATTTTTATTGCCCCTTTTTCACCAGTTTGCACTCTTTTTGATGAACGCTCTTGGGAGTTAACAGTGTAACTCTTGTTTGCTTCCATGTCAGGAACTCACAGCGCCCACCGTTTACTTTCCGTCCTGTACATTCAGTTAATAGTAGCTGCGGCTCATGAAGATACCAGAATAAAACCGGGCTGCAGTGCTGCGAGGCCCGCAGACGCCTGGCCGCGGTGGGCCAGGTCTCTGAGCCCTGGGGGCTGCGCCGGCCTGGTTGCTCTGGTGTGGAGGGCTGGAGGAAGGGAGGACCCCTCCCCGGGGGCTGGGCTCACAGCCGGAGCCCTCACCACACTGGATGGGGGTCCTGGCCTCCCGAGCTCGGGACAGAGACCAGAGGCAGAGAGGAAAGTGTGCTCCGGCTGCTGCTTTCCTGCGGGAGCCTTGGCTTTTGTGCTGGGCTTGCAGGGTGGGTGTGTCCTGCAGGCTTGAAGCTGAGGCTCACTGTGGGTCTCTCAATGGGAAATCCCAGGCAGAGCTTGGAGTCTGTTTCCAGTCCGGTGAAGGGCTTGGGGCGGCCGGGGTCGGGGAGATCCGTTTCTCCTTGTTACTGTCCCCGGGGGAAGAGGGCTTCGCCTATGCACGGTGCATGCGAGGGGAGTGCTGGGGCTGGGGGCTCGCTGTGCGCTCAGAGACGCCCGCCTTGGAGCCGTCCCTTCCAGCGCAGTCCCTTCTCGCTTTGGTCCCGCCCCCGGCCTCCCCGGCGGTCACCTCTGCCTCCCTCCTGTTCTGTGGGAGCTCAAGGGACCAAGCAGTGTGTGCACGCTTGCTGTGCCTGTGCCCTTGCAGTTTTCTTTCTCTTAGTTTTGCCGTCCTGGGGATGGAACACAGGGCCTCCTGCACGGAGCCGCACGCCCGGCCTCTCTCCATTTCTAGCACTTGATAGCTCCTCTTAGCAGACCTTGAAGGTGCTGCAGAAGGAAACGGCAGCAGCTTTATACTGTGCTTTCCTGGAGTAGAAGGATCAGTGTGCACACAGATGTGAATGTGAGCTCTCACTGACTGACATGGTCCTTTTGGGCGCGGCTGGAGCGGTTCCTCTGGGGCCCGTCCTGATGCGGATGCTGAGACATCTCAGGATACCTCCAAGTTACTGTGCCGTTGGCCGCATTTATAGACCTACTTGGGCGGTAGAGTTGGGTTGTACCTTTCTTTGGCTTTCCTTCCTGCAGCCACCGTTGGTGGATCTCGTTGATCTCCACAGAAGTAAGTTACTTCAAGAGGGTCTCGGCTTGCCCACCTCACCTGTGGGACTCACCACGCGCCTGTGGCTCTGGTGTCTGGGGCCACTTTCTGTTTCTTGCTTCCTGTGAAATGCTCTGCTCCTGAAATCAAAGCTCGTGCCACAAGGTGTCGCTGCTGGCTAAGCTGCCTGGCACACAGACCCCTAGGACTATAAAGCTGCTCTGTTGAAATGAATTGTTTCTCTCCGTATCGACGTCACATAGTACAGTTTTGAAGTTTCTCGTTATACTGGTGGCACTTCCTTTTGGGTCTGTAAAAAATATTTGAAAGTCACAGTTCATAATATTGTGCATTCTACATGCAGTGTGTACTAGGTCCCATTATAGTATGGGATACAAAAGAACAAGATAAATACAAGAATTGTCCAGATACTTCCACCACACACCAGCTGTGTTTATACAGTGTGGAGCTCGACACAGCTCTCCGTAGCAAGGGTCACGGATTTATGGAGCACCTATGTGCTTCGTTTTTACCGCGATGCCAGCGGGAAGAAAACCACCGTGTCCCCAGGAGGAATAACTCACCTAGAGCAGCCTGCTCTTGGCATTTGCCGGGACATGTTCCGAGGCCTTCACGGGTACCTGAGCACCATGGCAAGCATGTGACGCCCGCAGTAAAATCCCATCATGTATGACTTTGTCAGCCTCACCATGCATGGCAGAAAGAAGAAACAAGGTCTGCCGAGGTCCAGGCTCTGGGTGGCCGAGCGCAGCTTTCTTTCTGGCCAGCGTCTTCATATTTAATTCAGCCTCCCAGGGGTGGGATGGAAATGCAGGCCCCAGCAGAGTTCCCGTGTGTTAACCCACGAGCTCCGTGAACCACATAACTGGCCTGTCTCTGTCCGTGGAAACAAGACCAGGGCTGGGGATGTAGCTTGGTGACACAGCGCCTGCCTGGCAAGCGCAGGGTCCTGAGTTTGATTCCTGGTACCAAAAAACAAATGAACAAGCAGACATTCAAAAAAATAAGAACACAGAAACGAGACTGGAAGGAAATGTAGTACATACAGTGGGTATTTCTGGTGGTGGGCTGAGTGGTGATTGCAATAATCCTTTAAACCTTTTTCTGTATTTTCTAGATTGTAGTGAATGTATATTATATTTTATAGCGAGCCAAAGCAGTTACTAAAAACTAAAAAACACCCAGTGTGGTGGCCACGCCTGTAATCCCAGCACTCAGGAGGCTGAGACAGGAGGATTGCTGTGAGTTTGAAATCAGCCTGGGCTACAAAGTGAGTACAGGGCTGGCCTGAGCTGCATAGCGAGTCCCTTTCTGCGGGTGTCGCGGTGAGGGGGGAGGGTGAGCTGCACGGCGGGCTTAGAGTGTTGTGGAGCCGCGCTGAGGGGCGGTCTGCTCGTCAGTGCCCCACTAGTGGGGGGACAGGAGGTTAGCAGGTGTCCTCTTCTGTGCTAGGACACTGTCACGATTCTTTTTTTTTTTTTGAGACAGGGTCTCACTTTGTATTGCAGGCTGGCCTTGAATGCACTCTGTAGCCCAGGATGGCCTCAAACTCACAGAGATCCTCCTGCCTCTGCCTCCCAAGTGCTGGATTTCAGGTGTGCACTACCATGCCTGGGTTGATTGCGATTCTGAGGGACATAGTTTTATAGAAAAGCTACAGTCCTTTCTCTTGCGGAACACCAGAAAGAACATAATTCCTTGATGTTTTATAATATTATAATAAGATTTTAGTAATTATAATTATTATAAAAAGATTATAATACATTTATTTTATATAAAATTTAATTTTAGCCAGGCATGATAGTGCATGCCTGTAATCCC